GGTGGCGAGATAACTTGGTACCGAGGTGACCGTAAACAAAACTATACAGAACCCTTGGTTGGTTAAAATCAAAATGCTGAACAACCTCGCCCTGGTGGGATATCGGAAGATGATTGCATGGAGTATATTTCTTATTTTTAGCAATAGAAACTAATACAATTGAAATTGGGCTCTGTGTTACATTGTACGATAAACTTTCTTCTCCGATCAGATTGCTAAAAGTTAAGTCCGTTTTCCAGTATTCTTGATCATTTTCAAATTAACAGTAAAGCTTTGTTTTGCTTATTCTGCTGTTTCTCAAAAAAGAACTAGGCGCCCTGTCTGCAATAAGCGTCTTCCCTTGAGGTACCATAAGTAAATAGGTGTCCCAGGCGCTAAATCTAATCATTACAGAAAGCAACTAAAGAATACGGGGCCATTGAGGTCCACCTTGTGTATACCTCTTACTAACCTAGTCCAAGTCAGCACCGTAAGTTATGGACCAAGTTTTTCTCCTCAGATTCATCACCCAAGAGTGAAGCGTGCGGGCCGTAAATCCGAGTGGAAAAAAAAGAGGTTTCGTAACGAACAGTGCGGAGCGAGAAAACGAAATTAGTAACATATTTGTCATATCTCGGGGCTAGAGAAAAAAACAATGCTTTTCTGTCTTGATGTTGGTCAAATCTAGGGAATAATTCTCTCAGTTGAGGGACATGCTTAAATTTTTAGTCCATTTCACTCTGACCAACAAGAATGCTTCTTCTGGTTCCTGTCTCGCTGCTGACTTTGATCTTAAAGGCAAAAGCTTCTCCACAGTCACTTGTCTTTGTCATCATCTGACTTTTTAGGCGGTTTCTCATATTCCTGTGCTTTGGAAAATAGATATTCCATGGCATTATGAAGATCTGGCAGCTGTAGGAACGACAGAAAGTTTGCAGTAAAGTGACAAAATTTGAAATGTTGACTTGTGTTCTTGAACATGTACAAGGTTCATATTCTTTCTCATTTGTGACTTCCGACTTTCCACAATGCCTCCATTTTTACTCTCAAAGGACTATTTTCACCCATTTTCCACCCAGGAATGTTGTTTACATATCAAGTCTACCATAACTTACCATACAAAATATTATCAACATATTTCTTGAGGTAGTTTACACCCTGGGAACCTGTGACAGCTCTACAGTATTGAACTAATCCAAAGGATTACTGTGGTAGTCCACCATGAAAAATAGCAGTTATACCTAATGTAAGTAGTAATGTTCTATGCCAAACAGTGAACCCACTGATATGTTCTCATGCAACATTTTCAGGAATCTCTGTGAGGATTTATATACCCTCAACCTACCTCATACGTTTGAGCTAGATACACACCAAAGATATTTCCAACCAAAAGACCAGCCTGTAAACAAAATAATCAAAACTTTAATGAACACAATCAAGCAAAATATTGCAACAACCCAGAATTAAATTCAAGCTGAAATTGAAAGGCGAGTACAAAGTACAGGGAGTGGCTTTCATTTACATTCCAAAATATCTCCTCAGCATTTAGCAGACCAAAGCAAGGCAATAAGATGATTTGGTTTTATCAACTGAATGGATGATATAAAATTAGCCATCCTAGAGAGTATAAATTATAATAAGCTGATGTTTTGAGGATTGGCCCTTTGTCATTTGTTCTGATGAAGGGCTGACACCAGAAAATTCAGTTTATAAACTCTATATGGTCGCCAATTTACATTATCACCTCAGTTAATAAAACCAAATTATATTTTTACACTCCCCCACCAAACCAGCACCACAGTTTCTTTGGAAACTCACCCCCTTTATTCAAAGTAGGGTAATGTTAATCAGATTATACATAATTCTAGGGCCCACATTGTTTGACAATTTTTATTGTGCAAAGGTTATCGGCTATTCTAAGTGGTTAGTACAGCTTCTGAAAATATCAAGAAGACGGTCCTCTGAACCACTGTTTAGGGACACCCACAAATTTAACCGGATTTAGAAATATTCCGAGGTTCCAAAAAAAAAAAACTCATTTCTGTGTCTTGCAAATAACCTCACACACGTTGATTACAATCAGTAGGTTTCCTAAAATAATTATGTGTTGATCAGAGGTTGATGGTTTCATTTTGTTCTTACATGGATTCCATTGAGAAATATACTTAAGGCCTTTGTTCTGAACATGACACTTCTAGTGAAGGTAAAATAGTTTGGACAGCTTGAAGTCTGCGTCTTTTTGAAAATAATCGGCAAGATTTCCATATTACCCCATACATTAATTATGCATAGAGTGTTGCAAAGAAACCTTTATATTTAGTCTCTATGAAATGGAATGCATAACTAATGTAGGGGGTTATATGGAATGTATTCTGGAACGAAGGGGATGTTATTACTTATAAGCAATGAAGGGTCTATATTGAAACAGCTTGTAAACGGCAATATCAGGCTCCTACAGAAGACTTAATTCACACCATTCTCGAGGATACAGTAGTTGTAGCAATGCCTCGCTTTTGTCCTTGTCCTGGCTTTTCCAGTGATTGAAAATTTTACAGTACTGTATTTTCTTTATCTTCCTTTCCTATCTGAAACTTGTTATGTTCGATCGCTTATTTGGAGTCAGCCTTATGCCCTAAGAAGGTTCCTGATGTGACCATAAAATTGCCGAACATCCAGATTAAATAGACGATGATATACTTACAACAAGAGAAAACAGCTGAGTTGAACCAGGCATAGTGAGTAATAACACGTCTGTTATTAGGACGAAACTAGATTACTTCGACTTCTCTTCGATTCTGTAATTTACCGTGAGGAAACTCAGCTTCACTTGAGCAAAAGTTATGAGCCCGCAGTATACATACTCATCTGTACCTTTTCAACATGGCGGCCAATATGGCGAGAAGATGCTGGTGTGTTTTCCGTTGCTCGAGAGAAATGTTCTCATTCCCTTTGCGTCCTAGTAGTACAGTTCAACTACGGATGAGTAGTATCAATACAGAAGGTAGGTTCTCTAGCTATTCAAAGTGCATTTAATTATATTCTACTATTCAAAGTGCAGTAATTATTTCTTTCTTTCACCCCGGGAAAGGCAGCTGGCATCGTGCAGTGAATGCTTGCATAATTTCAGATCTAGAAACATGGACTGGGCCATGAACTGACTTATTTTTAGTTTACACATAAGGAGTAATTACCCTCCATTGTACACTGTACAGGGGAGGGGGGGTCATACATGTAGACGTTACTTACCAGCTCACTCTCACGATCCCAGTTTTAACTTCTCCTTCCTGTCTGCCCTATATGACGTTAGTTTGGAGAATTTGGTATTGGATCAACTGACAATCCCCTCAGTGAAAAAAATTTGGCAAGATTTCCATATAACCCCATACATTAATTATGCACAGAGTGTTGCAAAGAAACCTTTATATTTAGTCTTTATGAAATGGACTGCATAATTAATGTAGGGGTGATATGGGAATTAATCTTTCCAAAAAATGTTCTCAATTTCTAATCACCTGTCTGCTTGATTTTGTACTGATCTTTTAAAAAGAATTTCATTCTTGGTCACTCTATAATGTAAAGTGACTGACAGTTCTAATGTGAAAGGTCTTTACATATATTGTATTTTCTTTGATTCTCAGCTTTAGGAGCCCAGGATAATGTTGATCAGCTCACAAAAAGGAAACAGGTCAGGAGAATGCAATCTATTATTTTCAGGAAAAACAGACAGGATCCCACAATGGAAAAAGCAGCCAGAGAAGGATCTTGTGAGTCTCTTGCCATAGAGTTAATGTATATGTAAGGCTGGGAATAAGGAGAGGGACATGGTGTGTGCGGTGTTGTGGTTTTGACCCTTTTTTCAATGCGGTATTGCGGGGAAGAACAACTGGTATTGCCATGGTTGCGGTGATCTCAAACCTCATGGTGTAGGATGCTTTTATTTTAAACCTGCAACAGTGTTCAGTGAAATAAACCATTTCCGGTGCTGCAGTTTGTTCTTTAACCATTTAAAAAACTAGATTTTGATAACTCATCAAACAAGATAAGCAATACATCCGAGTTAATCTTTGATAGACAGTAGCTGCTTGACTCCCAGCCATGTTGGTTTATGTTTTACTTGACCTCTGGACCTCTACCACACACACTATCAACCAGCCAAAGACCAACGCATTGAAAAGATGAGTGAAACCAGACTAGGTAAATCCTGAGAATTATTGCAGTGTGGGCATGTTGATAATATTTCTTGTGGTAACGCGGTGTTTGTTTTATTTTGTGATGCTGCAGTATTCATAACTTCTCCATGTCCCTCTCAATAAGTGTTTACAGTACTTGGATTTAAAGAACATTTTAAAGTGCTACTGTGACGAAATTTTTGCATTTTATTTTCCCAATTTTCTGGTGTTAACTTCACATTTAGACCCTAAACTATAAGAATAAGTGTAAGTTTCTCAAATTTGACAACGTTATTCCTTAAAAACAGCGCCACGAAGACATTAAAAATTCTTCTGTCATTGCTCAAATAACACACTGGGGGCCCGCGAAAATAACTACAGCAGTTTTAGTTGTGATGTCATCGACTCACTTCAACAATGTTGTGAAGGCATGCCTTTACAAGAAATACGCAAAAGAAAGCTGGGGAACAATTCTTTTGAATTTTATTCCTTCTTTCCTGCGGAACCAGAAAAACAACTCTCTCAGCATACCAAATTAGCCACGTTTGTTGAGTCATTGACTTCACTTCCGTTCTCGACCCAGTTTCTTCTTCTTCATGTGGAGTTCTGTATTTCGAAGAATGGCAGCCGTTTAGATCACGAATCTACAGGGAAAATAGTATCACTTCTCAATGGGGTTTTGCCTTAAGATTTGGAAAATTTGTTACTTAGGGTGAGTACTTTCAACCTCTGAGGAGAAAAGAAAAGGTGTATTTTTGGTTGCAGTAGCACTTTAAGGTATTGAAGGGTTGTGAAAAAAACAGTTAACATAATTTATTTAATTATTAATTTAATCATTTTGTTCAAAATTTCTTCAACTTTCATGTTGAAACCTCCTCTCAGATATGTCATCTACCTATAAATGCACGGTATTAATTTAGCTTATTCCTAATGCAAGGCTTTACTTTCAACAGTACTCATTCCACTGGAAGCTGTTCAAAAGGAGTGGAAAGCAAAGAATGAATTATCCACAACAACAAAGCTAGCTAGGCACTATGACATTTTTAAGCACATTTTCAATGGAGAAGAATTTACAGCAAAAACTAGGATGTCAGTAACATTTGGAGAAACAGATCATGTGATTTATGGAAATTTTTTGAGGCCATCTCAGGTACATCAAATGAAATAATCAAATGTACTGTTACCACCAGTGAAGTTCCCAAACATGTGTATGTCAACTGATGTATTTTAGAACCAGCAAAAAAACTCAGATCATGGTGCTATAGGTAAAAAAAACTTGCAGTGAAGTTTGTTTCAAGTTATTTCTTTTCCTTCTGTTGTAAGCTCAGAGCAGAATTGCAAGCCTTATGAGCAAGTCATTCAATTATATGATAATTCCTGTACAAATATTTCCTGGTATGTCTATTCATGTTTTGTAAGAAGGTCAGTACAGTGGACCAACTGATGCAACAGACAGTTTGTATTAATACTTCAAAACAAAGGACGTTTATGTGATCATTTCATTTGTATTATTTGTATAAACAGTACTCTATATTGTTCCCCACTTCACCAATTAATAATGAATTACTGGTAACCTTCGTAGGCCACTACTCAACCAACTGTCAGTTATACCTGTGAAGACGACAGCCACTGGACAGTGATATTTAGCAATCCAGGTAACAGGTGTATTGAGTGTTGGAGTAATATATGTGCCCCTGTACTTAGAGTTACCTTACCTGAGAGAAAGTGTTTTTTAAACCATTTTTCTAAACACCTGCAAACCTTTCAGAAATATGAATTCTTACTTGTGTGGAGTTGTTAATTCCTTTCTCAGTGTTAGATGGAAGTAAAGCCTGGCTGAGAAAAGACTCAGTTTTTAAACTTTTTTTTTCTGATCTCCTCTAATTTATAACTTTCAAATTTGTGCAACTTGGCAGTAGATTAAATCAAGTGAACATGGTAAAATGCAAATTGTAATCAAAACTTTTATTATTTACAGATGGTAACCTGATAGACAGAGACACAGAATTTTTACATTGGATGGTGTAAGTTTTATATAAGTTCTATGAAGTTTTTCTGATTGATTTATAATTTATGTATTTAATATCCTTTTCAAATGATCCTGAAATCTTTGAAATGTTTGTAACCTCAGAATCAATTAATTTTTAGTGTTCTATATTAAATATTCTCCAGTGTGATCCCAGCCTCTAAAATCTTTTATATAGAAGCTTTTGGTTAGTTGCTTTCCAGTTAAGTTTCAGTGGAGCAATGATACAGATACTTACAAAACGTCATAATCTTTCAGAATTGATCATTGAAACTAAATATGGCATAATTTGTTTGGAGATTTTCATTGTCCTTTTATTGCAGTGTCACCTGACACATTTTGTTTAATTTGTTTTCAGAGTAAATATTCCTGGCTCAAGAATAAATGATGGTGATGTTCTTTGTGATTATCTTCCACCAGTGCCAGCTCATGGAACAGGCTTTCATAGATTTGTTTTCTCTCTACTCAAACAATCTGGCAAATTGGATTTAACAAATTATGTCTGTAGGGATGGAAGGTATTTTGCAAACATGTCTTTTTTTGTCAGGTTTTGGAATACTGAAAAGATCTTGAATTACATTTTGTAGTACCTGGGGTGTTTAAGTTAAACTTTAAGTGAGATGGAGACAATTATTTAATTTAAGGAAAGTGCTGATTCATATTCTTCCAAATTGTGGCCAGACATGATTTCTTTTTCTGGTATAAAACTTGAACATAAAAAACCACCTACAAAGTACACTTGTAGTAATTGTGTTCAAAATATTTTTCAAAATCTCGTGTATTCACAAATTTTTTAAAAAGGATGATGTAAATGTACAAAGCAAACACTGCAACCTTATTTTCAATAGCTACATTTAGTAAAGCAACCACGATCACTCATCTGAAGAAACAGGGGAGAGGGGTTGTTCATTCAAAGGGGGTGGTGTTTATTTTAAATTTTAAATTTTGGTGGATGAGAATAGTGCTTTTTCAAAGGGGCACTTAATTGTAGAAAAGTGCTTACCTAATATCATGTCCATTATTTTATACCCAACAGAGATTGAAATAAGTGGATAGCCAGCTCTTTAAGGACAAACTCTCTTCCAGGGCCCTTGTATGTCCTTGTGACTGACTGCTCAGTATTTTGTTGGCTAACCTTTGCTGTTTATTTTACCTGGCACCCAATTTTAAGTTTGGAGTAAAAAGTATGAAAAAGTTCAAAAGCACAAGAACAGAATGAAAAAGCTGCAGCTCATTTGCACATCAGAATCAAGAATGGACAAGTGTAGTACATTTATTTATTTTCATATGTCATGGTAATGTATCTTCTAAAAGTATGATTTTCAATTTTCAACAGAGATATCACTTGTCGTACCTTCTCTACAGCAAAGTTTATATCTGATCACAAGAAGTTTTTGACCCCAGCTGGACTGCGTTTCTTCCAAGCTACTTGGGATGAGAGTGTTACTGAAACATATACGGAAATATTAGGTAAGGTGTTTTTATAGTATTTATTTAACGTAAAATTGCAGTTTACTGTATTCAAGGTGAGCTATTTGAGTCAAGTTGAGCCAAAAGGGTTAACAACTCATATTGTACCGGCCCTTTGGATAAAAATAAAAGGTCTGATTATTAAACAAAGTTTAGCTGTTGGTTAACAAAACTGCATTCTACACAATCCTCAATTTAGCTGAACTTTTTATCTGGACATTATTTTGTGTTTGGGAACAGTGTCAAGAGGGCCATAAGCTATCAGTGAGAGGACATTTATTTAATTGAATCAACCCTTAAATAGGGAAGGCCTGAGGCTCACTGATTGCATGAAACCGTGGTTTGGGTTAGCCCCTGTGTAAATAACTGATCCTACATTTTTTAGCTGCCAGTAGACTTTACAATAAAAGTTTTTATTACCATGCAAATGTGAATAGTGATGCAGTTTCCGTCTACTGTATCTTGGCATTCTTTATGCATTTATATTATTGAGTGTCAAGATAGCAAAGCAGAGTGTCTGGCATACAGACCTTGACTCTGTGTAGTTCTATTTTTATTATTATTATTATTATTATATTACTATCAAACCATTGTCAAACAAAATTAATCAAGGCTCCACTTTAATAAGTGATAAAACACCCTGTCATGCTATTTTATTTAAATATTAATTATTTAATTAACCCATTAATAGCCGCAGCTTTTGTGAAAAACTGTGTTTTGAAGCTAGTCGAGCAGATTTTGGGTCACTGTTGTGATTTTAAAAGCTCAAACTTACCAAAAACCCATTGACAGCTTGTACACTTGACGGCCTTTTGATCCAAATGCAAAATGGCAGCCTGAAAATCTCGGGCAGGTGCAGAAAGCAAAATTTCGAGATAGTTTTTGGGTTGAAAAGTAATGCCCCACATACGACTTTTACTTTTCTCTCTTTCTCCTGCCCTTTTTTCCCCCTCTCCTTGCCTGAAGTTTCTCCTCACTTGCTGGAAATTTAGTAGGCTTCATTTTGGTGTAGAGATTTTTTAGGAAACTACTCATTATTTTCAAACCACATGCTCAGAAAGGTAGGTGGGTAATGGAACAAGATTTTCGTGCAGATTTTCAGGTCAAAGTTACATGGTTTTTTGGCTATTTCTCCAATCCCCTTCACTCAATTGCCCTCATTCTGGTATCCTTTGTAAGATATTTTCAACCTGTTCAAGTACGTGCTCAAAGTCGTGCTCCAGGGTTAAAAGTGATGACGTCAGAAGGCATAGAAAGGGTGTGGGTCCACATGGGCACATATGGGTGCACTGGACGTCAATAGGTTAATTAAATAATTATTTCACAATTACTATGATCATAATTATTTTTTATGGTTATTGTAATTGATCCAGCAATCACATTCATATTTCAGGTATGACAGAACCTGTTTTCAAGCCTAAAGAATTTTTAACTCCTGAACAAATAAGGAAAATCATTATCAGAGAAGTGTCTGAAAAGAAATACAGGAATATGTGATATTTTTTATACGGCTGATAAACAAGACCATAACTTGTAAAATATCATCTGTAGTAAACAGTGCACTTCCTATGCACTGTTTCACTGTAAATAAAATTATTCCTTTTGCATTGTTGCACACAATTTGTATTTTGCTAGTCAGACCAACTGTACAGTAAACCTTTAATGCCCTACATCTTCTTTGAATGTTTCTCCTAGTTACAGCAGCCATTTTCTCTAAATGCATCAAGACAATTTGGAGATATATGCTATCAATTTTGTTCCATCTGATATACTTATTTATTCTTGTAAATTGATCTGGTCAAGATTTGGATCAGTAGGATGTTTTAAGTACAATTTTAGTATTATGAATTTGTTATTAGGTATTTTTATACTTAGTGGATAATCGGTAATAATGTATTTTACCCTCGGTAAATAAAGTGTTTGTTTGTTTCTTTGGATACATAAAGCATACTAAATTGTCAGACTGTGTATATCTGTACAATTAGATTTTATTGTATCTCCTAGTTAGTAGACTTTGGTTAATTTAGAGGGCTATATTTCACTTTACAGCCCTCTAAATTCTAAATTTGTTTAAATTGCTATCGTCTTTCCTTATTTGAACCCAGAGATAGGATAAATATTTTACTAACCTTGTTTTCGTGGTTTGTACTCTTTTTTTTTTTGGCTGGATGTATTGCCCATGAACTATGTACTTTGGCCATAATTTGAGCTGAGTAAAATTAGCCTGCAACTTACAGTATGGTACAGACCTTGAATTTGGTTAAAAGAGATATGTTTCAAAAAAATCTCTATGCAAAACCAATGGAAGAAGAGTTGAAGTTAGAGATGAAGAAGAGGAGAAGTTAGTGAAGAGTTGAAGTTAACTTTCTCTGGGTACCAGAGTTTGCAGCTAGCTATCCAACATACTTACTCTTACAGTTTCTGGTTGTTTAGTAAGCATGAAAGAGTTTGTCCTTTTCCAGGTAGTTCATAAAGTAAAGTGTTGGTAGGATGCCCACCTTGCTTTCCATTGGTTGCCAAGAAAAATGTCTCGCTGAGGGTCTTTAATCCCTGGGCCTCCAAGAGTGACTAGCATCTAATTTCTGCTTACAATATCACCCCAGGATCACATATTAAGGTCATGAGAATGAAAAGAAATTAATGATCAAAACTAAAGAAGCTCTTGATTGTGAAACAACTTCTCCTTGTCAGAGCCTTAGGACATGTTTAGAGATCAGTATGGAGAATATGCATTCTGATGTTTGCATGTAAAGGGTTGACGCAGCAGGAAAGGAAATTATAGTTAATGAAAAGAGTTACCTTTCTGTAAACCTAAGGCCAGAGTTGAAATCCAAATTTGATTTCATAACCATCTAATATGGAGATGCAGAGAATGAAAAATATCTGTTATTGGTAATCATTTAGTGGTTTCTTACAGACTGTGCCCTTCATTTCCTCTTGGCCAGAGGCATGATCTTGAATTATATCGTGTTAAATCTCTAGAAGGAAAATCACTTTTAATTAAATATTAAGATTGATGAAATGCAAAATTATGTTGAAACTTACGGTTTTAATATCGCTCCAAATAACTTTTGCTACCTGGAATGATTTAGCTGATAAGGATTTAGCAAACAATAGAGTTGCATGTCAGTGCATGTAATACAGCAGTCTAAGTCAAATTCTGCACAAGGAGTGTTCTGTGGATGGCAACTAAGCTGATTGACTGTCTCCCCTCTTGGAAGCCAAATGATCATTTTTCATTATCTGAAAAGAATATCAATTTAAAATTATTCTATTCCAACATCATGCTGTACCCTAAATTCTCTAGTTGAAACACTATTTACAGAGTCATTTCAGTCCTGAAATGTTAATCTCAACTCATTTGTAATTGTTTAAGAGGTATGTCTTGATACCATTTGGCACTGGAAGTGAATTGATTTGATTTCCTGGCACACTGTGTAAGATCACTACTCTGCACAAATGTTTCAAGTCAAATCTCATGGGCATTGCCCAAACTCGAGCCATACTGTCACTATAACCAGCAGCTACATACTGCTGTGATTTAGAAAAAGCAATGCAGTAAACAGTGGTATTTTGAATTCTGAGACCAAAAGGGCTGGGTTCTGTTTTGCATTCTAAACAAAAGAGCGTATCCAGACTTTCTGAATTTAGCATAATAATATTGGCATCTGACGTTCCAACAGCAATCATCTGTCCGTCAGGGGAATACTGGCAGGAGTACAACATTCGGGAAAATGATACTTTACGTTCTTTCTCCCGTGCATAGCGCAGTTCACCAGCATGGGCACTGGAAAGAACTTCGACCTTACGCCAGATTTCCACGCGACCATCCTGCAAACAACACGCAAGCACCTCGAATCTCCACGCAGGATTATAGACACTCCAGCACATATTTCCTCTGCATCTTCTCCTTAGAACGGTCACGACATCCAGATTTTTGCTACGTAAGATGCACAGTTGTTCTTTGGATGTCGAGACAGCGAGGTATTGACCATCGGGAGAGAATTCACAACGGGTAACGAAGCCACAGAAGTCTGTTATATCGCGCAATACAACTCTCGCCTCGATCTGCATGGACTTCACGTTCCACAATCGCAGCTCGTTGGTCTCCCTCATACTATGGAAATCGAGGGAAGCAGCGCTTACAATGTGGCGAGCATCTGGTGAAAACTTACAGCAAAGTGTTTGACCAGTCATTCCGGTGCAACAAGGCTGAAATTTATCCCCTCGTTCTGCGATTTCGCCTTGAGAATTTCGGTTTCGTCTGATAATCGCGACTTCTCCTTGCCCAGAGTTAGTAAGGAAAGATACTAGATTGCCGTCGGACGAGATGTCGCACTCTTGCGAGTGATAAGTGAGGAGTTCCCTTTTGCAATACCCTGAGTTTATATCAAATTCTCTTAAATGGCCGAGTCCTATATCAGGGGTAAACGGTCCGCAAGGAGTTGGTGTAGTTGATGTCAAAAGCAAAGCTTCGTCGTCAGGTGAAAACACACAACAGTGAACCTCTTCGTGATACGTTCTGGGTTGTTCATCTTCTTCATCTTCGTCTTCTAAGTTTGTTTCAGAACCACGATAATGACGAAACTCAGCCACGATTCGAGGAAAATTAGAGTATACAACGCTTGAATTTCCTTCGACTGATCTCCTCAACGGCCGAACTGGTCGATTAGGATATATGACAGGTGTTGGTTTGTCGATCTTCCTTCGTGACTTAATCAGCTTGTTACCCATTTTGATATCGGCAAGGAAACTAGCACGAAAACCTCTTAATTTTCAAGTACGTGCCAGTGTCTCCCTTAGTTTAAAAAGGCAACGAAGCGATAACTTCCAAAGGCGAAGTTGGGCGGGACAGCAGCAACATTGTAAGGGAAAAAGTTGAAACCGTCAACAACGACAACCGATCGTTTCCAATCGTAAACATGGCGGTTTTCATGGATGATTCCGCTGTACATTAAAATCGATGTGAAGCGAGAAAAAAACTATATCACAAGAAGGAAGGAGGGAAATTGTATTTGAGCGTAAAATATCAATATCGTGGGCGTCCCATTTTCATGAATTACTAAATGGATAGGGGTTCTAATAAGTCGAGAGGTCTTGTCTCCAACAGGGTGTGAGGTTTAGTTGTCTAGTAATGGGAAATGTAAGTGCCTGAGCAACATTATCAGTCTTTATTATTCTCTTTGTAAATATTGACTTTTTGACTATTTATCGTTCACAAGTATTTGAAAGATTTAATTCCAAACAGTTGGTTTTATGTTGATGATTTTACCAGAGAAACACTTATTTTGCTTCAGCCATGCAAGTTAATTTATATGCAGTTTATGTTTTAGGTTTATTATTAGATAGGAATTAATAAAGTAGTTAAAATACCCACTATCACTCTACATTGATTATTATTCTTTCATTATAGCAGGTAGCAAAATAAACAGAATTTGTTTTTAAAAAAAGGTTGGGACTTGAGGTAGGAAATTTATTGGAGCAAAAAATATGATGGAGCCAATTAAGTTAACTAAAAGCCAAGGTGTAACAGTCTGCCAGCTGGGCAGCTGTTTCCACCTGGTTATGTCTTGTCAACATGGTGTGACAGGAAAAATACAACAAACACCAGTGTGTTTGTTCAAAGCTTCAAAAAGCTTATCTGGGGGAAGTGAAAATTTTCTACCCAGGTTTTTACTTAATGTTTATCAGAAAATTGAAATCATGATCACTCAAATTTCTGTTTTGAGTTTTTTTCAAAATTTTTGTCCAAAGAAGAATGGTAAATTAAAAATAAAATCCCTATCTATACTAAATGGCCAAATTAATCTTAGTTAGTAAATCACCTTGTTAAATTTACAATATACTATTACTGCTCAATCTCAAATTGCATTTTTACTTAAGCTGTGGGTTTTAAAGTTCAGCCAGAAAAAAAAAAATTGAGAACTCTCTCTTACATTAACCTGTGCTGCAGCCGGAGGTGTCACACAATCCCCGGTATAGTCCAATGCTTTAGACTGTTTGCGACACAGGCTATCTTACGTGTGTCCAAAATGGAAAAAAATTTGAAAAAAAATTTGAAAAGGTAGTGATGGTGGGGTGGGGGACGGAAGTAATTTTGAAAAGACATTGTTCAGATACCATTCTTTACATGAGAAATAAACAGGTATTAATCAAAAATAAGTTACTCTCAATTGTACAAAAGGACCCACCTCTTCCCCAAGGATATTAAATGGAGTATTACAAGGGCATTTGTAGTAACGATACTCTCTCATCAGTAAATTTAGAATTTCCCTCTTCCCTCTTTTCAAACCCACCCCAGTTCTTTTCAGAACCAAAAAAGTCAATGATCAACGATTAGTGTCCTTTTCTTGTCTTTTTAACTGTAGGTTCAGCCAAAAGTGTGATCTTGAGATTTTTTTTTGCACAAAAATACTTGGCTGTAAGATGCACCCCAATTTCAGCACCAACTTTCCACGCGAAGACAGAATTTTCTTGAAAAAACTGTGTGCCTTTTAACTGAGAAACTATGTAACTGTGTAGCTAGAAAATACTGTGACTTGCAGATACTCTTTAACAATTCCATATAGTTGCTCCAAAATAAGGAGCTGAATTTTTGGAAGCACGGTTGGCACTATAAGCCAGAATTTGTTGCTTTGACACAGAAAGCTTTTTGACTGGAAGTCAATCAGGGATTTCTGTAAATCAGATTTGAAGAATGACCTAATGGCAACTCTTTCTTGAAGGTTAATGTTTGTCTTGATTAATTTGAAATGTGTGAGGTAGTCTAACACAGTAAATGACCCCAACAATGTTTGACAAAGTTCAGTTGCAGACTGACACCAAAGTCTGAACCATATGGTCACTTTTTCGAGTGATGACCACCCAAGCCTCATGTTATTAATTTTTTAAACTCTGAAAAGAGACCTCCTTGTCTTATAATATTGAAATATAACAATTATTTTACAACACTGTTTTACAGTGGTAGAGCTACTTCAATTCCAGTCACCCACCATTGCTGACCAACCACAATACAGCCTATCCCAAAGAACACATTTAAGGCAATGACATTACTTTTTTTACTGACTGAGGTGGTGAATTGTTGTGTAGCAAGCTGAGATGAACTCCATTTCCTCACCCATTAGTCTATACTGTGACTGGTCTTGGGTGCCTTATCAATGAAATTATTAATTGTGCAACAAAACTGTATTAACCCTACACACCTTTACATCAGTAAGCATAATTCTCCATGTTATTCTCTTCATATTTCCTAAGGTGCATACACTGAGTATTTGTTTCTTAATCCAGAGCTTCTTAGGCTGGGGATCATTTCCTTTATTCATCTTAACTTTGTGAGGAGAAATTGGGGTTCAAAAGTTTAAACTAAGTATTTTAACCAACCAGATAAATTATAATCTAATTGCTTTTTCCACTGTCTGGTTCTGTAAAAGTTCTATTTTTTATACTTGACACTAGTGATGCTTTCCACTTTTCTTCTGGTATAACTTTGGCCCACTCCGGAACTGCTGATGTAGGAAGAGTGATTCCTGACATCACTTGTCTGATGAGATCTACTTGTTCTAAAAAGTCAAATGTCAAATTATATCAAAACTTTTCATAAATTATTTTGGCCCCATACATTGCAAAAAATTTGATGTTTAAAAAATCACAGAGACCTTGGCCTGCTACGCATTAATCAATACAAAGTTTCAACTTTGAACTTTGAAGATTGGTTTGTTCAAATCCCCACCCTCCAGGGCAAAAATTCTGTTCAAATGTCCCACCCAATTTTCCTCTAAAAAGCAAAATCAGCAAGTGTGACTTTCTACACATCGACCAAGCCTTTAAAACCTAGACGTTCTGAGCTATTCTCTTGCAAAAGTGAACTATTTACCATAAACACCTCCCTATTTAAAGATGTAATACTTGACACTTCTGTTTTAAATTCCACACTCCAGCCAGGCAAGGTTCAAATTTCTCACCCCATGAGCAGCAATGACCATCAAATACTTGTGGGTTGCCCAGGGGGGGAGTGGATGCTTCAAATGATGCATAATCCTCAATCTACAATTACAAAAATTGCTCTTCCTACTTGCCTTGTTTCATTTCTGGCTCAGCACTTCTGTCAACAGATGATGACGAAGATGATGACATACTGCTTTCACTCGTATTAATAATTACTGCATCATTTACATGTGGGGCCTCCTCCTCCCCTGTCTGAGGTAAACATTCATTATTTTTTGTTTTCAAATTGTTAGTTTGTTTGGGTGTTTTAACAACATTCATCAAAACAATTTGAAGTAGACTATTAAGCTGTAAAAAAAGAGCTTCGCATGGGAAGACCAAAGCAAAGAATATGCAAATTTTAAGCAAATCCCTCTCATCCACTAGTCTTCATTTCGAAAGTTGTGTCTTGCAAAAGAGTTGGTGGAATATTAGGCTACTCTGGCAAAATGCCTGGCATACAAGCATAGGCCCTTAAAAGTATACACTAAA